CAAACATTATAAACAGAGGAGATATATATAACACATGTCCAAGCCTGTGTACAACAGCAAAGTATTTGGTTGATTTCGCGACAACACTTATCCGTCACCCCACTAAACGTGTGTATGCGACACAGATAGCGGTGCTGGTACACCGATGGTTTGTATTCATCTCTTACCCGCAGTAACGCTATCCCAGCACTGGTCAGACTGCTATAGAGAACATTCGATCCATAACAAACAGCCGGATGTCAACACGGATGTACCAGAGACATCTCAGGTTGATAAACATAAACTTCGGCTGTTGAAGGCTTGGCTGAATATCACCTCAGATTCGTCCACAAGGAGAGAAGCCGCGCAGATAGAAAATGCTTCAACTTCTTTTACTGACTCCTGGGATGGAGCGGAATTCTAATCTGAACCAATCCCATCTTGTAACAGCAGTTCATCCATTAAAGGTGCAAAGCACATACAGGAAGTAGATACACGAACACTCGAACTGTCCCGAAAAGCTCGAAACTTACGCCGACAAATATATACTAATCATAATTGAAAACAAAACAAACAAAAAACCATATGGGCATCTTCAGAGTCCCCTTCAGAAAATTGACCATTTTTTATCCCTTGCCCGTCCAAAACCATAAGAACGGTAAGACGGTTTGGATAATCAAAAAAGATAATTGTTCTGAATTGGTGAATTCGTACTGACCTGCAACCCACAGATTATCCATGACTGGACGAAGCAGTTGGATAGTCGCATCATAGTACTGTTGCGCTTTGTCCAATTCACCCAATTGCAAGAATACATCACCCAAGTGTTTCTTCCATCGACCGGAAGATCGTCGATGCTTCACAACGCTGTGTAAAAATCAAACGAACAAAATATTGGGGGGGGGAATCAGATGACCGAATTTTGCTCGATTGGACTGAACAACACCAGTCAGCGGGACAATCATGACTCAGCGATACACACACAAGAAACAGAGTCGGAGAGGGGGAAGAGATTGAGACCAGGACCATGCAAAACATGCAAAACAGCAGGAAGCAAGTCGAGAGCAGAAGCAAAGTTACCTACCCACAACCACATGTCAGAACGATGAAACGACGAAGCCATGCAAACAACTGGCAAAGCAGAACCATAATTTGCGAGAAAAATCAACACGGATTCCGAAACGCCAAAACAACCGGCGGAACGACGAGCTCGACTTAACCCTCCAAAAAGGAAAACCATTGCAACGCTGCTGCTTTTGGACAGAAATCCACACAGACACAAATGCAGATTTGTACACAAAAACAATTGAATTAGGATAAAATATCATAGTATACGACGTTGGTACAGATTCGTCTTTGTGTGTTTGCGTCCCCGTGGCTTCACACATAACCAGAGGAAAACGAAAGCCTTGTTTACCGTTTGCAATTAAATTTGTCGTGTGGCATGCAATCTGGACTGGGTCAGGCACGTAAAATATGGAATGAGACACGGGCAAGCCAAATCTATCTAGGGCTAGACAAGCAACTTATCTCATCCAACATGCTGGCCGTGGGATCGACGAACGATTTCCGTCTCAATCGTTTATGGATTACGGCCAAACGCTGATCCCACCATGAGTTTACTTCCCTGTGTGTTCGAAACGAAATTCAGGGATTGAACTGTGATGATTGGGCGACAACACGTTAGGCGTGTTCTTAGATCAGAGAATGTGCAAGGTGATTCAATATGAACAATCGGATGGAATACAGAGTGACACCGCTATTTCACTTCCCATAAGGACGGCTCTTGAAAACAAACTTGCAATGACAGAAAGAATGAATGATACTCTGAAATAAATGTTGGGGCTTATTGCAGGAATAACGAACGAAGGCATGTGAAAGCTCAAACTTTGACTTAGGAAACGACTTCTTGATTACACCTCTCACTACCTCTTTAGCTTTCCATACATCCTCACCGGAACCGAATGTTGAGGATAAAGTACTATTATATTCATAATCTTTGTGAGTAGCAGATCGCTTTTGGAGAAAATGGCATCAAATGAACTTACAGATTCACATGTACGCCGATCTCCAACGACAATGTCTGTTTCTCAGGTAAAACTGAATTCGACTGCTCGCAATAAAGATCAATAATCTAGTTGACAGATCAAACTAAAAGCACAACATGAAATAATGCCGTTCAAACGTCTTGATTAATTCAAACCAGAGAGTTACGTCGCTGTGTCTATACAATTATTCATGTTTTATCTTACTCCATCCATTTGCGAATGGAACCATGACAAATGGGGGGATTTTCCTCCTAAATTTGATTAGCTCATTTGAGCAAGATTCTACTGAGTTGCTGATCTCAGAGAGTTGCGAACAAATAAAACGAGCACCATTTGCTCCATCGATTTGCGAGACCCACAGACAATGTGAACTGTGCATCAACAGAAAACGTATAAGAACTGGAAAAATGAGCGAAATCCGTGCATACATAATTGAAACATCTGCAGCTTTGGGAAAACGTATGCATTAATTAGAGGAAAATGTACGTGGAGCGTTAGCCCTGTACAGCTCGGTCACATTGGTCTTGGTTTCTAAAGGGAAAGCTTGCAGTTCAAGTTCTGGTTCGAAAACAAAAGTAGAAAACTGGTGACTGGTTTCAAAATGGACGAACCAGCTATCTGTTGCTGAGTTCCAGTATTTGCCAAACATTGTTATGTGGATTGACCGGTTTTGACATCGATCGATATGCTAAGACAGTTGATAATCCTACCTACACCGCGAACTATTCGCATTTATTCAAAATTTACGAGCTTCATTATAGAATTGGACCAATGATGTTCTACATAATTCACATCGTTCCACACAAAAAAGCTGTAAATACTAGCAAACAATCAAATTATTTACTTCATCAGATATAGAAATGATTCCTAAACATATCGCAATCATGTAATTCAAAAGATTACACAAGTTACTTCCGGTCTAACTCGATCGATTTCAAGGGAACTAATTAATTCATCGAGCCCCTTCTCTTGCTACATCACTTGAAATGTTTGTTCAAAACCAAATCTAACTCAATAACTGAAGAGGCGTATAGATTACGTGTTTCAACGTCCTCCATTCGGAATGAGTCACTGAGGTATACCAAAAAAATGATGCGGAAAAAAGTTCAAATCGAGATTAAGAGAAATATTGGACACGGAACAACAGTATACGCATAATTGATGAGCAACGATAAGCACCAAAACCGAAAGTGGGCTTCCATGTTACCATTCAGATACTAATGGTTATAAAATCATCAAACACCAACAGGATTGTCGGATTGGTTACGATGAGAAACAAACAGCATGAAAATTTTGTCACAAAATTGTTTGAGAAGAGTTGCTTCCAAAAGGTTACCGTGAGTTGTATAGAATCTAATGTGGCAACTTCTCCAAGTATCATCACTTGTTTATTTTTATTGGAGATATAATAGCTCAATAATTGCTTTTTAAGATCGGGATATGCACCAACCCGGCTTGATACATTGGCTCAATGTCGTTTGTATCCGTTCGACTTACTTGCCTATTATCGATTGAACGTAAGCCACGAATTCCTCCTTTCCTTCTATCACCATCTCATTCAAAACACAGACAAAAGCAAATTCAAGGGTGAATTATATCACCAGTAGGTGATTGCAATGGGGTCACCTTTAGGACCATTATTTGCTGACACCTCTAATGCAAAACTTGATAAAAATCCCATTGAATCCTATATCAGAGAGCGCACCCTATACAGACGATGCGTTAACCATACATTATGTGTGGTACATGTAAATGTGGACTTGTGGATTTCAACGATGTCCATCGGAATGTGAGTTTTGCTCTAGAAAAAGAAAAGGATAACAGTCCGCGTGTTTCATCAAACAGTACAGAATATGCATTTCTATAGTTTTGTTCCTCTTTGAAGAAAACAAGAAAGCTAATTCTTTTTTGGTTAAAAGAGTGAAGAAAATATGCTTTGAGAGTGAACTTCAATATTTACGAAGTATTTTTACACAAGATAGTTACCCACAACGAGCAATTGATAAGCTGCTAGGGCAAGAGGAACGACCGAAAGAAATAGGAACAGTTAAGAAGCTTGTGTATGCGCACGTATGGTTGAAGGGAAATAGGGAGGCAGAAATTAGTCACCGTTCGATTCAATCGTTCAGCGGATGTGGTAAGCGCGTTCCGATTGATTTACAGGGTTCGGTGTAGACAGTCAAAACACGTGAAGTGTCGTATCCCAGCCACGGGCGAAGTTGTCAGCATTCGGATTCGTGCAAGCACTGAACCTCCCCAAGCCCATTTTATCCACCTCACACGTGTGTAACCACTTGAACATTCGACACGGCTCAATTTCATATGATGACTTTCATCGTGGAAAGAGCAAATCAAACGTGTACTGAAAAGCCGTTTCGACCTGGCTGGGTCTCGCCAACAGTGCCCATCCATCGATCCAACTGGAGATCAAACCCGGGACTACGGAGGCGGAAAGCAAGTGTATTACCCACTCGACCATCAGGTAGCTGATTAAACGGTTTTTTTTAATTTTCTTTATCCTCCATATAACACAACCCATCTTTACGAGCGCAATGCCCGCATCGCATCTTGCGCATCTCAGCATTGGCCTCCGCGGTTAGAACTAGAACACACGTTAGAGCCAGACTTCAGCCATTAGTACTGGAATTTCTCATTCCCGATTGTTACTATTGCTAGTCATATTTGATATGATGCAGTGGCATGATTAACAACAATTGAAAACGAGTTTGTTTGCCATGCTGTTTTTTTCTTAATATGCAACAGCTGCACAATCAACATTAAGGAAGGGAGCCTCCACTAAATGAAGTTCGACGAGGAACAAATGAGAAAGCTGGTTAATGGTAACATAATTTAAAATAACGAACTTCTAAACGAATAATTTATCTTGGTGCTATAGATCTCAAGATAGACAACAATAAAAACTTATAAACATTAAAAATCGAGATGACAAACTCTGTTTATTAACTTCGTGTGTTCAAAAGCTCAACATTGAACGCTCTATCATCTTCCTTTTTCATTGGCGGGCCTCGGATAAAAGACTACTAGACGAGGATGTGAGCGTTCATTAAAAACTAATTGATGATTTTTCGAGTGACCACAGAAAGATTGTGAAAATGAGAGAGCAAAAAGAGTGTTTCTTATTCCACGTTGCCGTTTGACAGAGCTTTTTTGTCACTCGGTATGGGTAGGAGCTAACCGAGCAATTAGAAGCAGATGTGGGATCCAATCGCTAGGCTCTGCAGAGCAAAATCTGGGGTAGAAAGGAGCACAGAGGCTTTCGCACGGCGATGTAAGTGCTTGGGGAGTGGATAGTAAGGATGGGTCTTCGAAAAGACATCGTTTCACAGGGAACACGATCCAAAGAACTAAACCCTGTTCCAGATACCGCTACAGTATTCCATAACGGTATACGTTATGATTTTGTTTAAATTATGAGTGGAAGGAAAATAAAAACTGCTGTATGCGGAAAAAGGGTTAAAACCTTCCTGGGAGCAGGCAATGTAAGTACAATTGCATGGGGAAAATGAGATAGAAAAAAGAAAAGTTGAAGGTTAAGTGGTACGAGTCGTATTGCGGGTGGGTATTATAGGGATAACATGAGCGGGGGTATAGATAGACAGCAGCATTGAAGAATGTCAGATTTCAGATCTGAATAGTGCGAAGCTATTGTCAACAATCGATTGCCAGTGATGGAGAATAGAAAAGGTGTTTCATAAGAAAATAATGATAATATGAGGTGGCGTCATCGGCATAAACATGAATAGGGTTAAGAGTGTGGCATATAAAGTTATGGAGGAAGTGCATAAAAAAGGCAGCATT